AGATATTTTTAATTAAAATAATAAAGGCAGAATTACTAAAATAAAATTTTTACTAAAAAAATTAAATACAAATACTTAAAATATTAGATAAAATAAATTTTTCTTTAAGCAAAAATTTCTTAACAAATTTACTTAGTTTTGCAAATTATACAAATTATATACCAATAGTAAATATTTATTTATTGTTATTTCGATAAAAGCATAAAAAATTTAACCAGTATATAAATCAGGGTTAAGGTATAAAAAATGTGTTTAGTAAAATTTGGCCAGAAAATTTTTATTAAAACGTAAAAGATAAATTTCTTAGACAAAATTTTGAGTTTGATTGCACCTGATCACACTAAATTTGGGAGTAGCTAAAACTAGATACATTCCGATTTTTCTAATTTTTAACTAAATCGTGATATTAGGGTTAATATATAGTAAAATCGCATTTCCAACATTTTTACTTAGAACAAGACTTGTTTCGTGATTTGTCTTTGCCTTCTCGCTTTGTTTTGTTCGGAATTATCCGGGGCACATATCGGGTAATCTCGTTATGTACTACCCTAAATTTGCATATGAGCATCAACCGATTTGGGGCGATATGCGATATCGATATCAGTAAAGGAGTATACAACGTAAATTCACATTTTTTGATTTTTGCCATTTAAAAACTATATAGTTATTAAATAACAAAATACACATACGATATGTACGTACATTATAAATCAATATATATATATTAGGCGTTAACATTTTAAGGGTTAAAGGGTATAAACAATAGTAGAAATTGTCGGAAATTTGATATAGTCTTTCTATAAGGTTGGAATGCAGCTAGCTTACAATGAAAAGTTTTTTTAAGTAAACCTCCTTGAGTTTCTAAAAATATTATAGAACAAGTTATTCCGATTCTAATGGTGGTAGAATGATTAAATTAAGGTAATAGATCGCGAGTTGTTATTGGCATTTTTCTCCTTCATAACTATATGGTTTCTACATATTTCCAAAAATTTTTGACTTTCCATTATATGAGAGTAGTAGTATTTCTGCTATGAAATTTATATCCTTCAATTGTGATCTACCATTAATTAAAACAGTAACATACGTAAGTAGATTTAAAACTGTAAAATAAAACCATTATATTCTAGTCGGCAATGCTTTAACGGTTACGTATAAATTATCGATCTCCATGCTGAAAAGGGAAAAATATAGTGGGTTATAAATTTTATCCATTACTATACTAAAAAGGAAAAAATATAGTGAACCTACATTTTAATTCTAATATTATGTTGCATGCATGATTATTATAATTTATAACTTACTCACGTACGTACATTTCATTTTAATCAGATAAATTTTAAAACTAAGTTTATCATTTTTTAATCAACGGACATTTTGATAACGGTTATCATGCATACTCTATTATTATTAATTCAAAAAAGAGGTAGTACCTATATAAAGGCATGAAAAATCTCCAGGTCAGATTTCCATTATTAATGAAGGCGAACTCTAAACTTGATCAAAGTAATTAATTTCTTTTTAACAGGCTGAATCGATACTTTTGTGAACTTTATGATCTACAAAATAATGTTTGAAGCTATTAAATCACTATATAAATGAGATTTCTTATAGCATTTGTTCAATTTCTGAATAAAAGATATAAATAGTCAATTATGCATTCACGAAAGAATATTTATCAGATAAATCAAAAAATTAACTGATAGATCCAAATCAAACAATAATGCATCGAAATTCAAGCGATCAAAAATGTTGATTTTATTGAAAATATCAATGATTGATAAGTGAATAAAAAGAATTAAGTCAACTATATAACTAAATATTTTTTTTTTCTTTTTCATTGCCTTAGTTGACCGACTTTGGATAATTAGTTACGATAACTTGAATTATAATTCTTTATTTCATGAAGATTGTATAGTCAAAATTCTTAATGGATAGAATGGAAATTCCCGAGGATCAAGCGTACTTGCCGCATACAAAATGTATTATCCAAGTAGTATTTGAACAAGAAGGTGAGATGATTACATAAAAATAAGACTTAAAAAAAAATTACTAAGGATGAAAGAGATTGTATTTAGAGTTTCAGAGGCTCTTATATGTGGAAATATTGAAACATTTTTTAATTATCAAGGCACACTAAAACGAACTGTTGAATTCATTCAACAGTATTACAATTCACAAAGATGTCGCACGTTCTTCATTCCGCACAAGATCAACCATGCATTACGTTATTACTCGTCAAAGAAGTGGAAAACACCAATAATTTCATCAATTATACTTTTTGTATATCCCGTACCTACTACCGATTTTTCTTTGGTTACTCATAAAACACGAGTGAAACCAATTCAAATCCAACTACTTGAAAAACCTATAAGAATTTTTATCAAAAAACCTTCGATGCTTTCTATTTCTCCGACCAATAATCTGATTAACTCTAGACAATTCATTTCTAAAATATTCACAAAAAGAAAAAAAAATGACTTATGGAGATTACCGTTAGAAGTTAAGCGAGAATTCAACGAAAAAAAGAATTCAAACAGATTTATTATTCCTTTTGGGTTTGAACTTAATATTGATTTAAATCCTGGTCGAAATTTAGTTAAGAATTGCATTAAAGAAAATCTTTATTATTTTGATGGAGGAAAATATTATGAATCGAATAAAGATTTTAAAAAATTTCAAGAATATAATGAAGAAAAAGAGTATCATAAATAGTTTTAATCTTTGATATATAATTTGTATGTAACATATAAAACATGTTGTATTCGTTGTATATATAGACATACAACTGATTATTATTAAGGTTAATAAAAACTGCAATTTAATATATTCACTCTATCCTGACACTAATAGTAATATGGTAAGCAATAACTGAGAATCGATAATTGATTCACAAGATTTTAACTAAATATACCGATACACTTTAAACATTGATGCTAACACTAATGAAAACTAGTTGACATAATAAATTTGAGCCATTTTCGATTTTTAATTTTCTGTTCGCCTTTATTCCTTTACTTTGAACTTATATATTAATCTCATTTGTGTATAATTGATTTCCCAATATGAAACATACCTCAAATATCGCTTCTAGGATTCT